TATATAAATTAAGTATATTTATATAATCATAAAATATTAATGTATCCAATTCTAAAATGATTTACTATAGCCTGAGATTCACAGGGCTTATTTCATCATCCTTGATTGATGAGAGTAACTATCACTTGTTAACACTGGTTGTGCATTTATGAAACTGGTGCCTATAAAATGGGCATTCAGTACTAAAATACTATTATTACTAAATTTAACATTAATGTTTAGCTAATGATTATTTCCCCTTTCATTATATTTTTAACTTTGCAGTTAATTCAAACTTCCACATTACCAAGCTAATACTAACTACATTTTCATTTGCTCTCAAAAATTTCAACCAAAACATAGTAATCATATATAACCTGCTTGTTATAGCCTCCAAAATAATTAAGAAAGCATGCATTACTATTAGGTTTAAGGAGAGTAGGCAATTGACTTTGAATTATTAATAATGGCTGTTTCATTTTCACTTAATTATGATCCATTGCACAGTAACTGAGAAAAAACAAAAATTTTCCTTAAAATTCCACAGAGGATAATAGAACAGCAGAAGTACAAATGTCTTATTATAAGAGAAATAAGCCACCTCAGTAAAGGGAAGATTTCATATTTGACAAACAAAATTAGACTTTTTAAATCTATAATCATCTTTCTTTTATAAATATTATCATTTAATAGAAGTCTTAAACCTTCAAGTTCAAATCCATACTTTTAATAGACAAAATCTGTTATTTATACATGTAATAGGTAATTTCATAGTCAGTTTTTGCACTCTACACGTTTGCCCAAGGTGTCTTCTAAATCTACAGTTTCTTAATTTTTGTTCCTGGAATTTATCATCCTCTGCAATTCAATGTGTGAAGGGGGAAAAGAGTTTAAAAAACCTTTTTTTTTTTTTTAAATTTTCAAAATTCCAAAGAAGGAAGGATAAGAAGTCATCCACATAGAAACAGGAAGGGAAGGAAACAGGTGAAACCCAAGGCTCTCTGGGTGATGGGATTAAGAAGTGCTAATTGTGAGCTGCAGACTGAGGCACAGGATGTGAGGCGCGGCGCGGGAGGGCAGCTCACGCACTGTAATAACCCCCTATGGTGCCAAGCGGGCACTTGAACTACCCGAGGGGACACTGTGCAACCCATATGAATGCCTATCCGCTGTGCTGTACACCTGAAACTAATACAAAAATGTGCTGAATGCAAACTGTGAAAAAAATTAAAAAATCAAAATAAACCAAGGCTTTCTCAATTGCCTTTCCTTTGTCCTCTGGTCAGATTAAGCCTGGTCTTCATTCCTTTTCTTTCTGCAGGAAATGCATCACATTAGGGGGCTAGACGGTGCTAAAGCTCTACTTCTAGGTGAAGTCTTTCCACATCTCTCAGGAGCAAATACCAATGCCAGGGGCAGTATATTTTCTATAAAGTGAGGTTTAAATCTCTCGGGATGCAATATAGATCCATTTTCTCTTTTCTTTGCTCTCAATAAAGACAGATTAACTGATCACACTATCTGTGTCGTTATATTTGTTCAAACACTTAACATTTGTTATGTCCCCTCCCTCTTTTCTTCTCAGTTTACAGTTCCTCAATCCTTTTAAACTCTCTTCCGATAAACTCTACTCCAAAATGATAATCTCTTTACTTTATTCAGTCTCTTTTAAGTATCTCCAATTTACCACAATCCCCTCATCTAGGGTGAAAGAAATGAGAAGTATAGACATTTGAATTTCTCTACTCTTTTGTTATAATCCTGTAGCCAAGTTAACATATTGAAATATTTGTTTCTATAAAACACCACTAAATATCAGATTATGGTCAAACAGTAAGAAAGATATAAAGACAAGTATCAAACAGTTCTAAAAGACTAGACATGAGAACTCCAAAAATAGTAAGAAAAATTATATCCAAGGAGAACACATCTGTCCTAAATTGTCTTTATAGTTTATATGCCGGTATATATGGACTCTGCTGATTGCTTCCTTATATTACCAGAAAAAATAACTGGCTAATAAATTTTAGTGAAACTCAAATATACTCATTATTTTATTTATTCAAATTATAGATTTTTAAAATCCAGAAAAACTATTTTTGGTTAGAGGTCAGAGTAGCGGTAATTCTTTGGGAGGTAGTAACTGGAAGAGGGTAGAATTCTGGACTTAATGAGATATTAGCAAGGTTTTGGCTACAGAACACTGTACCTAGTTAATATTCTGGTCACTGGTTGCTCAGGCATTCTCATTTTTTGAAAATTTTTTGAGTTTTGCATCTATGATTTTTGTACATTTCTACATGCATGTTATACTTTAATAAAAGTTTAAAAATAAAAGTTGTTATCTATGAACCTTATTTTAATCATGAGTCAACATCTTAACTGTAAATATAATATTTATGAGAAAATTATGGTAATGTGAATAACTAACAAGACTAGAAAAAATTAAGAATATTATTGTGGTTATGCTAAAAAACTTTCATTAAACATATGCTGAAATATTAATAAATTAAAGAGTAGAATCTCTGGATTTACTTTAAAGCCTCAGTGAAGGGGCAGTTGTGGTAGGGTTTGAATGAAACAAATTTGGCAAAGAATTAATAGAAATGGAGAGTCTAGTACACTATTATCTGTTTTTATATATACTTAAAATTTTCCATTATTTTAAAAATGTGTAAAAATATAATTTACTAGAACTAAATATTATTTTATACAATAATGTTCTCTGTTGCCATTGTTCTTATCAAGTTGAGATAAGTCAAGAATTAAGATATATGTACCAAAACATATCTAGATTCCATGATGTAGTGTAATCATCTGATGAGTAATTAATTCTATGACAAATAAACCATAAAACCATACTATTTGTGACTAGCTAAGGGATTTGTTCTGGCATCAGGTTTATTAATGGTGGGGGGGGGAAAGGTACAATAATTTTATACTAATTTCATTTTATTTTTAATTTTTTAAAAATATTTTTATTGAATTTTAGAGAGAGAACATCAATGTGAGAGTGCAACATCAATCGGCTGCTTCCTGCACACCCACTACCAGGCATAGAACTTGCAACCAGGGCATGTGCCCTGACCAGGAATCAAAACGGCCAGGGCAAGAATTTTATACTAATTTTAAAGGTCAGACTCCATGTTTTCTACACATTTTCTAAGACTAAAATGATAGCAACTGTCAGACAATAACATTAACTTCATATCTATGAAAGTTAATATTTCACCTACATGTGAAATATTTTATCTTACATACACCAAGTGTACATCATCAAAACAATCTATTATATATACTTTATCTACTGTTGACTTTGTTAATTCAATACTTTCTTTCTACTATGTGCTGTACTTTGAATCAAAACCCAATAATATTTTTAGTTAGATATGAGAAGCCCTCGACTCTGGCAATTTCTTTAATTGGGGTGATTCAAAATTTAATCTGGGCCTGGCTGGTGTGCTCAGTAGTTGGGCGTTGAACTATGAACCAGGAGGTCACTGTTCCATTCCCTGTCAGGGGACATACCCAGGCTGTGGGCTCAATCTCCAGTACGGGGCTTGCAGAGGGCAGCAGATCAATGACTCTCATCATTGATGTTTCTATCTATCTCTCTCTCCCTTTCCCTTCCTCTTTCTGAAATCGATAAAAAAATTAAAAAAAAAATTAATCCACAAAATATATGTTTGATATTGATTTTTTAATGTATTACTTCTATGTTTAAGTCTTTTTTCTTTATTAAGACATTTACTTAAAAATTTTGACAAAAACATTTGCAAATATGCTCTTTATGGGATAATATAGTAATTACCTAATTTTCAGCTGCCATATAGTTATTGGTATATACATTAGCCTTGAAACATTTAATGACTAACTGAGGCCACATTTCTAGTATGTGGACAATATAAAATTCAATATCCAACAAAATTATCTGTAATATTGAGATCTAGTGCAGAATTCTGGCTAATGCCAACATTAAAAGGAGAAAAAAGCCCTAGAGATTACAACATTTTTACAAGTAGTAAAAATAATGTCTTCCTCATAATACATATGAATCAGACATATATTTCTTCTAAAGTATCATGGTTAATTTTGCTACCTATGCATATAAACTGGTCCTCAAAAATACAACCAGTACCTTAAAAATTAAAGGAACGGGCTAAAATTGGTTGTGTCTCTTATCTGTTTCTCAGCAAGCACCATAGTGTCATATTAACAGTTTCTGATAATGAAACAGCTATTAGTTAAATAAACTTACTCTTGCATTAAACATAATCACTGTCATTTTTATGGTAATGAATATATATAATTAAAATTAAATTAAGTTAAAAATATAATGTCTTCATACAGGATGCATATATGTGCAAATGTATCCATACAATGGAATCATGAAAACAGAAAACATTTATAATCACTTGTTGAACTCAATACTCAAAAGATATCATTGGTAATTTAGATAAGTCTGTTGTACAGATTATAGAAATTTTATTGAAATGAAGTTCACATATAATCCTTCCAGCTCTTAGAGTTAAAAATCATGTATTTCTAGGAGAAAGCATACAGCTGTGTGCTTAGGCATAATGCATAAATATAATGTATAATGTTGACTGTAATGTACCAATTATAGAATCAGAAACAAAGCCCTGATTTTTATTTGCAAAGTTTCTAACTTACGGTTTGTTTTTATCTTCACCCATTTGTACGTAATTACATTTGGGGATTAATTTTTTGTCAAATCTCCTCTCTTCTCCCCACCTAAACTGATGTAGATAATTAGGGACCACTAATGTAGTAATTAGAGACTCCTATTGGACCTCCACATAAAACTGCCCTGGTTTTTATTATACTTTGGGAAACATTAAATTGACTCATTATGCTGAATTGAGCCTTGATTCAGTAGTATTATTCGATCTTGAGCCTCACAGACTAAAGCAGTTTCCAAGCTATCTTGTCTAAATGACACTAATTCCTATTAAAAGAATTTCAGAAGACGCATACTCATCCAAAAAAAGTCTGGCACATTGAGTATTAAATGATGTTTAATGATATTTATAAGCAATTGAATTTGTATATTCCAGACTATTTACAATATCTTTATAACTTAATGTATTTAAATTTAGACCCATAAATCATCAGTTTGATGAGGAAGGAAAAATTCCCAAGTAGATAGTCTTTTTCAGTGAATAATTCTATTTATATTTTAATTGGTAATCTTCCTTTGTTGGGCTCACGTGATGGACAAATGCTTAAGTGAATTTACTTCCAATGTACAAAATAAGAAAGAGGGTGGAAATGATCTGTAATATAAAATGAAGTATATAAATAATATTAATATGTGAAATGGTAACTCAGGAATATGTAAAGCATGCTTAAAATAAACTGCTTTAAATAACAGATGAAGACTCACATACCAATGAGTGTAAACTATTGCAGAAAGATATAAATTACCTTTATCAATGGTCCTCTCTATATGCCCTTAAAAATGTACAAGAGTTTATTTAATCATATCTCTGTGAACTCAATAATGTAATTAATAACATACAAAGAAATAGCTCTTGCATATGGGTTAAATGAAAAAAAAAAAGTGACTAAACCAGGGGAATGTATGTGCTTATTAACTTAATGAAAAAGTGAAAAGGGGAGCTAAAATATGAAAGCTTCTAGTAAATAAAATATGGGAGGGAGGAATTGTCTCACAGACCATGTAAGAAAGGAAGTTGTTAACATTCTAAGAGAGTTAAGAAATATGAAAGAAAAAAAAATTAACTCCTTCTTAGAATATGAAATAAGTTCTTGGAACAAATGAAAAGAAATTTAAAATTTCAAAGTATTGAAAAACTCCATGTTTTACAAAAGACCACGGTTAGGGGCATTTTAATATTTTGAATGAGTTCAAAACCTACTTCCTCTCACAAAAGATTGCAGGTATTAGCTGGAGAGAAATACAACTAATTTAAAACATTTTTCATTGGAAGTAAAAATGGAAGTTTGCCTAGCATATCGAAAAGTGTGTGTGTAGGCCTGTGTGTCAAAGAAAGTGTGATGACAGCATTGAAGAAAAGTTAGGTACTTTAAAAACACTCATTTATCCATTAATTGATTGTTCATCAATAATTATTTAGAATTTATAATATATATAGCTGGGTAATAGGTCTCAATACCCCAAGAGAGTATTGGATACTACTAGTTCCGAAACACCCATAGGCACAAATTTTAAGTGACAGGTGATGTCACGAAAGCACTGACGTCTGAATAAATGAAAATGAAGTTGCCCACCGAAATCACCAGATGTGAGGGCGTCTCTGTTTCATATCTGCACCTCGGAAGACTTTTATAGCTTTCCCTTTAAACCATACTAGTTGAGGTCAACCATTAATCAACAACTAAATAAGAAATGGCATAACATTATTGTATCTCATTTATCTAGAACTATACGGAGGTTCCAGTCAGCTGCTACACCAGTTAACTGGGGTAATAATATAAGTTGTGAGTAGATTACCTATTTCACAAAAGTAAAAGATCATAAAATTCAGTGAACATTAAATTTTATAGTAGATAGATAGAGAATATGAACTGGGATTGGGTACTCTCTTGATCTTGAGTTATCATGTGTTCCTGCTCACAGAGTTAAGGAGATAAAGCTATTTTGATTATGAGAGATTAATGGTTAATTCCTGAGAAAAATAATTTAATGAAAAAATAGAAAGACTGGTGTGATTCAAAGACCCAGTGATTTGTCACAAAGAGATACAGTGAAAAAAATGAGAAAATTAGTTACGTTTACAAATCTAGATAAATACTTATAAAAAGAATGAGAGAACAAAAATCTCAGAAATAGGCAGCTATAAAAAAGTAGTACAATTTGAAGAAAAAGTGAACAGAAATAAACATATTTACTGGAAAAGAACAAAAATCCGGAAAAGTTTCCCCTTCATTTAGTGATGTATGGACCTATGAGAGAGAAGTGTTAAAAAGGTCACGTATAAAAATACTTATTTGTGGACTTTAATATTTGATAAAGTGATGTTACCTTTATGACACTAGAGGAATATACAAATCTCAGAGAAAACACTACACAGGGGTATGTAAATATGAAAATAACGTGTATCAATAAGAAAGTTTTACTTTGAATTCTATATATGTTCTTACCACACTACTGAGTTCAACAAATTATGAAAACATATAGAAGGCAGACTGAGGTCATGAAGGGACTGGAAGAGATGTGACCTAAACAAAACGGCTCCACAGTTTCAATCAAATAAAAACTTTCAGTGATCTGTTTAATTAATATAGATGCCTAAAAAAAATTTCCCAAAATGAGGTTTACGAAAAACAAAGTCTAGGTAAAATGTCAGTAATATTTTACATGCAATGTTTTGAAGTGCTGACACCTTTTTTTATGTTACAACACGTTGAAATTTCAAAAAGGCTTAAAAGTAGGCCAAAGTCAAGTCAAGTCGGGAAACAGCTAGTGTGATATTTTGGCATACATGGACGAGTCTAAATGTGTTATGAGATGAAGGCAGGATGGACCATGACACCTTTGAATATGTGGTTACCTGCAGTCCTGTGATTCTAGGAAATATCATGGATTTAGGATTTAAGAAATTATTATGTCAATGCAGTTTTTTCACTTTATATAATTTACCATTGTATGACTTCAGTAAGTGATTTTCACAATATATTTTAGATGACATTTCATTAATTATTTAATCTTATGATTGTCTTCAATTTTTAGGGACTATGTTTATTGACAAGATATCAGCAATTTTCCAAATACTTATAACTTGAGTTTTGTATTGTTTAGGCTGATTATTTACTGAAAGACATGTTTGTTTACTGACAAAAATCTTAAGAGATGATGTTCAAAATGTGAAGCCAAAATCATAAGCAAGAATGATTGAAAAATAATATTAAAGATAGTATTTTAACTATTGTTTTTTTCTAAATTATGTTAATAACTTTTACAATTTATATTTATTTTTGTTATTTGCTGAGACAATTCAGAGTATTTTATGTATAATTTATTGTGTCATTTGAAAGACTAATGTGATGTAAATATGATGTCTATAATTCTAAGTTCTTCAATCATCAGGATAAAAATAAGTTATTTCTAAACTTCAGAGACTATTTTTTTCTTGTTTCATTTCAATAAGTGTTGAAAACAATGGTTAATTTTTACTAAAAGTTAAAGTAATATTTTAGTATTTTTTTTACTCTAATAAAAATTAATGGTGAGGTTAAGCTAAAATTTATTAACATTTTAAGATAAATCTAAAAGCTGTGTCGATTTTATTTTATGATAAATATATTCTCCATGTTTAAGTTTCTTTCCTCAGTTTTTCAGAGTAATAGCAAATGACAACATTGCCAAAAATAAGAGAAAGCATGTTCACAAAGTGCTCATGACTAACGAGCAAGTATTAATAGATGTGTTTTCAAAATTACTCCTGATTAAAGTTCCATTTCATCAAATGTATCATGTATACTCTTCACAGATCTTTAAAAAAATAGGAAACATGACTTTATTTAGGTATGTTGTTAAAAACACAAACTATAATTTTTTTAACATGCGCATACGTACTTTTGTGTAAAAGTTGGTTTCTTACAATTTTCAATTTTAACCTTAAGAATCAGTAGTATAGAAATGGAAAGTTCTTGGGTAAAGACAATGATCTCATTTGTATTATTAAGCATGCCACTATTTCCCTGTCATCATTTCATAAATGACAGCGGTAGCCTCATTAGGCTTTTTTTAGAGCTTTACTAACATGACTAAATATACAGTTGCTGTTCTGAGCATCAAAATATACATTATGTTCATCATAAAACTAAATGCATGTTAAGCAAAAGAAAACCTGCTACCTCAATAATTATTTAAACATTCTGATTAAAAGCAAGTAATTAGTGTTAGTTTTTAGCTTCTTTGATTACATAAGGGATGTGTTTTTCAATTTAAAAGATGAGGATATTTCCATTGCCAACAATAAATGATACAACTATTAACAACTCTCACCATGTGAATTTGGTGAGGAATGGTTTTGGAAAATGGTCAGGAATGGTTTTGGATTTTAGTTTGCGCTATTAGGTTAACCACAAAATTGACTATGCCTATTAAATCAGAGCTCTGATGTAATTTTAAAGGTAATTGTGAGTTTAAGATGGCATGAAACACTAGAAGTTAAAAAGGTATTCAGATATGCTTCAAATTATATGAAGAACTAAGGACAATATAAGTAAAAACAAAATAGCTACTGTTCTACTTGTTTTTCATTGAGATCACAATGCATACTAAACCTTAAAGTCTGAGCAATGTGAGCTGGCTAACCAGAAAAAAACAAATTGTTATTAAAAACTAATTTATTCTAATACATATCTGGATAATATGCCAACAAATTCAATTGTCTTGATAAAATAATACATGCATCCATTGATTTCTAGCAACACACATAACTGCTAACATAGTTCATAGTCCTGAAAATCAGGTCTCTCAATGAAAACACTCAGTTCTTAGAAATTAGAGAAATTTTCATTAAAATATATGCACATTAACTTTTGTATGAATTAAATTGTTACTGTGATACTTGAAATGAAAAAGAAAAACTAGTCAGTGGAGAAAGATATTTGTAAATGTTTAAATTTTCACTTCTATGTATAAGTAAAACTTCAAAATTTGTGCTCCCTAAGAGCAAAAGAAGGTGAATTGATTTTTAAACTATGTTTAATGTAGACTTACCAACTGATACATATAGCAACAGTAGATATTTGTATTTATTTAGAACTACAATTTTGAATTACTCTTAATCATATGCTCTTTGACCTCTTGTGTTGAAATTATTGATAATGCATCTCTATATCCTGTATTCTTAATTCAAAGTGAGAATATGTTGTTTTAAATTTGGACCAGCTTGTTGTTGTTGTTTTTGTTTTATTTTTTATAACTAATACAATTTAAAATCCAGAATTCAGTTTGAGGGCCAAGGACTGACTACATCACAGTCTTCATTTGTTAAAATTTGATTTTAGGGTACTTTAATCACTAGTGTGTGTAAATGTGTGAGTTAAACTTTAGGACTTTAGCATTCAAATTACAGCTTCATTATTATGCTAGGCATGTCAATACTTTCCTTAAGTGTTTGTGTTCTCTTTATGTTTTATAACTTTAAAAAATAAATCAAAACAAATATCAATTTATAAGGAGACACAATTCTTTGGGTGTGAAATGCTGAAATACTATGTCATGCTAGGGCAATGGCATCTCTAAGTAACTTGAGAAGTGGAACATACTCCTTCATGAGACATTTGATCACTGTTGCCATCACAATGTATCTATCCAGTGGCAGACCCACCATTTAGTTATATGACACTTGTCTATTCTTATTAGTGGCCAGAGTAGTAACCACGTCCTCAATGCATTCAATCCATGCCTTTCACATTTACGTTCATAAGGGGAAGTATAAGTGTTCTTCTACTTTTAAGTATTTTTTCCTCCCGTTTCATAAGTCATAAAAGAAATGGTACATCTTCAGTCTATCTCATCTTTTGCTTCTAGCTTATGGTTCCAGGATTTTTATTTTTATTTTTGTACTAGACAGTGAAAGTAAGAAAATAAAAGTCATCTTTTGATTGAGTTGTTACGAGTTTCAGCCTCATGAAATAATAGTTCATGTGGTTTGGCCAAAATACTGAATCACCAGTAGCAATTATGAATTAACTAAAAGTAAAAAATCCCTATGTGGTAGACAATAAATGGTATAATTGCATTTCTAAGATCCTCAAAGGAAATATACTACAGAGAATCTCAAAGCATCTTCATTTTTCACAGTGGTTGCATAAAATAATCCATTTAGAAAATATGGTCCCAAAATTGAAAGAAATTATCAAAGTTTCAATGTTAGAAGAATCTATTATTTTAAATAAATGAATATTGCCGTATCGATATGCTATCATCACATAGTTCCTCTGGCTCGAATCAGACTTGAATCCACACCAACACATTACTAACCCATGCTGACTGGTCAAACTAAAGGCTGCACTGCTTTCTGAATTTAGCAATGTGTTTGGTGTGACTATGGTAAAAGGGTGACCACCCATCGATAAGAAAATGGGATCCCTCAGCAACTCAAGTGTTGAGATGTTTTTCTAAGCCCTTCAAAAAGCATGGAAATCAAGTAAGCAAGAGAGCAATGTCTAAAGGAAATATAGAGAACATTTGAAAAATATTTTCGACAACATCAAAAGTATTGCTTTTGATTGTTGTCAAGAACCATGTCCTAACACAGAAGCCTGTCTTCCTGTGCAGTATATTCATTTTTCCACAGTAAAGTGCTGCCTGCCTCCGAGAGTCAGTTATCCTGAACTCTATTTTTACTAAGAAGACTGATGTGCTGAACTTGATTCCCTCACAGGGAACACTTTGATACAGCCTTTTATAGAATACTTACTCAAATATGGTGGTTTGTAAGGCGCTCGTGTATTAGACAGCAGTCCGTCCAGCTCCTTCCTCTCCAGGGTGCTGTGAAGGGCCTTCTCTTTGCCGAAGGTGGAGAAGGACCGCTCTGCCCCAGGCTGCGCTTCTGGAGTTTCAAACACCTCGGTGTCTGGAACAGAGTCCATGCCGGGAACATGCAGATTGCTGCGATAATCGGCAGCCTGGCGTCCGTCAGAAGGGACAAAAGAAGGCATCCAGCACCGATCTGAGTGGCCCAGGGCTTTACATTCTTCGGTGCAGTTGGAGAAGAGATCCATACCTGTGAGCAAGAAAAAAGAGAGGCTGCAGATGTGGCACGCACCAACATGGCCAGCTGCACAGCGGTGAAGGACCATTAAAAAGCTCTTTGGCAAAGAGGCCTCTGAGACAGATGTTTCTAAACTACCCAGGGTATTGGGGAAAATATATTGGCTCTAAATTTTTAAAAATAATTTGGAAATGGTGAGTAGAAAAAGAATGAATACTTTTAAAAATCTCTGGTGAGGTTCATAACAGAGAAAAAATTCAAGTGTAAAGTTTTCATAATCCATAATCTCTCATGATGGTAAATCATCTGACATTTTCTTCCCTAGAAGTAGCATTGGAAAAAATATGCAAAGCACTAAAGCTGATATTTAGATTATGAAATCTGAACATGAAACAAAAAGTGAAATTCAACAGAAAACTGGCATACATATTGATAAACCAGTAAGTAACAAGAATGAAATAAGATTTTATGAGTGGCCAAGAACATGCTTCCGTAGGTTCCTAGGAAATTACTTCCTAGAAGGTAATTCTCAGTGACACTCTGGTAGCTCATATTACTCCAAACCACTTATCATTTACCACCTTAGACAAATTCAGAACAAATGACTGTAATTAGTGAAACCAAGGTAACCAAGTGCAATGGGAGTCAACTGCAGATACTATTGACAAAACCCTTATCACTTGTTCTATATTGGAAAACACTGGTCCTAGTCAACGCAAACTCTTTGCTTACTAATCCTAGAATATAGCAGGTCCTTGAATAATGTTTCATCATTTTGTTATAATGTCGATGAGATTTTATAGGAACTTAACACTTTTTTTTATCAATTGGCCTATGGTATAACTGGTTTATTATAAGTCGTTTCACAGAACCTAACAATGACCTTAAGTGAGGACTTGCTATATCAAGATTTCAAATGTCAACTTCATTGTCTGCCATAGATTGACAAGACTATTACATCGTATCTGATTATGGCTCAAGAATGCTAATTCAGTTTCTTAACAATTTTGAGCACTACAGTATCCTATTCGATATTCATTTTGATAATTAGCACTAATGCAGAAAAACCAGCCATAAGCCCAGATTGTATAAAAATGGTTTTCTAAACATAGTAACATATTTATTGAATATGTTTTTAAACACGGTCAATTTGAATTAACCAAAGTAAGATTGGTCTGTACATAAGAAACTCAAATGATGCCTCGTCTGCATGGGATTTTCCTTGTTTGTTTAACCAACAGAGTAATATTTATTTAATGAACACATTTGATTGTTTCTTTCATGAATATCATAAGTGATTTGAGCTCTCAAACAAGTTTTAGTTCTTAAATTCCTGATGGTATCCTGTCACATGTTAATTTACTGTTTCTGTGTATATGTTAACATCTGTATATATAAAATAAAGAGAATAATTTTTTGATGTTACTAACCCTCTAGGTTATCTAAGAATTAAGAACCATTGATTACAAAAATGTTTAAAGAAATAACACCAAGCTTCTTATCATATGTTAATCTCACTTTATAATGACTTTTTAAATTTAAATTGAACTATGTATAATGCAAAGTCTAACTTCGATTATAACATTCCATTGACAGTTGTCGTGCATAAGCCTGCAAATAAATTACTGATCAGTGAACTGTTGAGGAACAGAAACGTGAGCTGAAGGCGGGATAAGGTCCAGACTAAGAACCGCATGTAAAACATGTCAGTGTTTCCCTAGACATCAGAGGTCAGTTCTTTATCCTATTTCTGTAAGGAGCTATGTAGAGAGAAAAGAGAAGAGGGAAAGGAATGTCCCTGATGCACACTGATTTACCAGGTAGGTAGCTAGAGAACCAGAGGTTTGTATTTTGACACACGGTACTATAAATGCTCCCTATTTATAGTACATGTGAGGGGAGGAGAGGAGGTGTTTTCTTAAATAGATGGAGCTACCATTAAGACTACAATTATTATCAGCAATTATTTATTTTAAAAATAAATTTGAGTTTTTTTGAATTTGAAGTAGATAGAATTATTCAAATATTAAGATAGAATTGTATTATTGGATCCTGATAAAGATGGTTGCCTAATGCGAAATTTAGAATTAATACAACCTTTTCCTCACATGACAGGAATATCGTTTTAAATATACCACAAGAACATTAACAATTTTTCACATCTTTTGAGGACCTGTACCCAAGTGTTCTTATAATTATGAATATGATAATGTCACACAGAAAAAAATTAATAAACTAGTCTTTCAACATTATTATGCAGATGTTGTTTATATTAAGAGGTGCTTTTAGTAGAACTTATTTTTATGGGTAGTTTATACTCAATTGTGCCCATTTTCTTCTCTTAAAGTGTATTATGTTTTGCCTCTTTTAATTATTAGAAGCTACTTAAAATTCCCTAAGATGACATAATCGAGTTCTCATGAGTTGAGAACCTGTACAAATAATACAGCGCGCGTACATAAGAACAGTGGTGAAATAAGATCAAGTTTTTTGTTGGAAGAATGTTATTTGACAGAAGGAAAAAAACACTTATAAATAATGTTCTTGAGAAATTTATGAACTAATCTTTAAAATGGAATTCCCATAATAATAACACACAGCATTATATAACTTGAAGGAAAGATAAGGGGTCATAAATTATGCATGCATATGTTTTACCAGTTTTACTGATAAAGCAAGTGTATGCATTTCTTACAAGGAAAATGTCATACAAAATTTAATAACATAGATAGTACCTCAATACATTTAAAATAACACTGAAAACAGTTATTTAAAATGAACGTTTTTAATTTGATTTTTTTTAATATATAGTTTGAGAACCAAATAAATTTTCCCATTATCAGTCCTCAACTTAGAGAGTCATTGAAAGGCTAATATTATTTTATCTTTTTTCATTTGTTATTAGCTCTATGAAGTATATTATTACAATGACCAAAAAAGCAGTGGTATGTTTATGTTTTATTGTGTTAAGTGACTACATGACACACAGGAATGCCAGGTATTTTAGCATGGGACATAGTAAAATGATATATTAAAATTCACATTGCTCTGGGAATTATTATTTTTTAAATATGTTTTTGTTGGTTTCAGAGAGAGGAAGGGAAAGGGGGAGAGAGAGAGAAACATCAGTGATGATTGCGCCACACCGGCCAGGCACTCTGGGAATTTTTTAATGGCTTAATGTGAAGTCCCAGAGGAAAATAAATTTAACTAGATTTTGTTTTTTTTTTTGGTCCTCATTCAAATTCCCTTACTATAGTACCTGAAGGATTTGTATAGCAGGAAAATACAGAACAAACCTCAGTTTTGAAGGTATGGTAGTTTCTAAGAAACATCTCAACATATATATATTTTACTTGCAATTTCTTCTCCTACTTATTTATTTTCTCCACTTCTCAGAAATAATCTGTTCTACAAGGCCTGACAGCTGATGTGATAGACTGCCTGTTATGCAGAGATATATTTAGGCAAATTTTAAAATATGTCTTTTGTAACTGGCAAGTAACTTGTCCCTTCTAGTCAGAGACAGTGATAGTACCACTGAGAACAAAGAGTAATTTCAAAAATATTATATTTGTATTCAACTTGTACTGTTTTCTGATGAATGTAATAATGCAAAACTATGTGTACATTTCTTTCTCATGCACCAAGCCTTCATAAAAAATGTTTATTTTTCCCCCAAAACATGATAAATTAATTTTAAAGACAATCAACAAAATTTATTGAGAAAATTTCTCATTTTCCTTTAATCACATAACACTGATAAACTGAAAGATGTTAATAATAACTATAAATATTGCTGTAATTTTTTAAGAGAATGTGGTTTGGAGGCAGATATTTATCAGCATAATTCAATAATAAAAATTCAAAACATGTCTATCATAATTTTCCCCTACTTATTATTTGAAAATGTTTATATTTTCCCCATTTTCTCTCAATATTTTGTCTTACATGTTTTTCTAATTATAAATCTCCACATCAAGTCGTAGCTCAGATTTTCACCAGAAACCTTAATTATGGTGTAAATTCATTTTATTTATAAAGCCAAAAACTTTGCCAGTGTCTGACTTCTTTATATTTATGGTAAGTCAAGGACTCTCTTTTTGATATTATTGTAGTTGTACAATGACAATATACTTCATGATATAATTTATTTACTAGTTTGAATATATTGATGATTCAAATCACTTTATTTTTAAATGTATAGCCACATTTTTACCAGGTATCATGTATCAATCTCATAATAATTAGTTAAGAAATAAGTAGATTTAGAAGCTAAGTTCCCTTGTAAATAAAATCAGCAAGAGCAATTTGACATTTTGAGGTAAACTATAGCAAGTAACATTAATAGAATCCTTTATTAAGGTTCTCCTCTTCAACATATTATTTAAGAAGTCACAATTATTAAAAATAAATTCATAATAAGTCTTAGTATTAGGCTTATTGTATTTTAAGTGGAAAATAAAATTCTTACAACTGCATAGGTCTCCTTAGATGTACCTTCAATAATATTGAAATGTTTAAGAATATACAAGAAAAATGTTATATCAGTGTTCTAAATGAGGAAAGAAGCCTATCTTTTAATCTAATGATAAAATAAACAACACTGAAAACATATTTCTTTTAAAATCCACCTTGACTTTCTTTGGCTCTTTCAGCTGTGATTAATCAGTTTTGCTTCTTGTGATGATTTATGCGTGCATTTACCACATCTCCTTGGACTTTTGCCATATCTAACCAATATATCAATAATGCACTGAAAAAACAAATACACAAAAATGGAAAGCACCTTGACAAGGCTATAGAAAAATAGTGCCACAGAGCAGTGGTCAATCTGAAGAATTTTACACATGGAGCCAGGTGCAGTGGAAAACTGAAAAAGCTTATGTGATTCTCTGTGCAGCTGGCTCCGTATTTAAAGCCCTTCTATGAACAAGATTGGTGACTGCAAATGGCTTAGAAAGGGGACAAGTGGGGGTGGGGTGGAGAAAGAACAAAAAGGAAAACTATTCATAGAAGAATAAATAGAAGGCATATCTAAATAAATGCATACAAAGTAATGTTAACATAGAAAAAGAAAGTGGGAATAAAGATAAAGTTAGGAAGCTTAAACAGGTGAAGTAGTAAGGCAAACAGTACAGGAAATGCAATATGAAATGAGGTACAAACTAAAGGAGAGAATTCAGAATCTATATCTTTCCAGAGTTATTTTTCCTTAATAATCTAACCTTTTCTCCTTAAAAATCCATCTGAGTGAGATTTGCTTATTAATACAAAATGTTTTCATAGCCTAAGCCTGAAAATAAGTGTGCTATAAATATTTTCAACATATTACAGCATAGGAAGATCATTAATAGCTGGCTTTTCCAGGGAATAAAGCAGATGTACTTATTTACCTGAAATGGGCTTCACTTTTAGAAAATATTTTAGCTACTTCGTGTGGGGTTTATAGTACACAACATAGCTATGACTGGGAAAAAACATTAAGTAAATGCATTTTAATTCTCTGCACTTAGGGCTTTATACTTAAAAAGAAAACATTCAGAGTCGTTCTTACAATGAAATTAGACGCATTAAAACTGACTTCAATTCAGCACACAGAGGTGCGATTCCTTCTAATAAAAGTGTGCTGCTCCAATTCTGAAACAGCCATTCTTGTGCCCAGTGTGTAGTGGCTGCCCCATAACTGCTAATGAAATACACAGATGATAGATTCTGTACCACTTTTACATGTTTAAAAACATAAAGATGGGGGGGGGGGATTGCCATTTTGATAAAGAATAAAAACTGCCTTACTTTTTAAAAAATGTTTTTCGGAACACAATTTAGCATTTTATTTTTCCTTTTAATGCTTTGACGTCTCAGACAATTTGAAAGAAACGTTACCCAAATGGCACGCTGAGTGCCTATGAAATGAAATAGCTGCTGAGAAGGCGCATAGGCAAGAATATATTCCCATCCATCTTCCGAATTTAGCGGGTTTTTTTGCAGATGTTTACTCATTTCTTTTTCTTCGGTTAGGTTATTATAGCTCGTTATGTCTAAGGGACTAAACTAACCGAAATGTTCATTGAGACTAGAGCGCCACAAAAAAGAAAGAAACAAAGTGGGAGAGTGGGAAAGGAATAAAGTGCATCCCAGGAAGCATGCAGCAGGTATTCTGTTTTTCATATTAAAGATTTTGCTTGAAAAGTTTTGAAAGGCTGACCGTTAGGTTAGACTCTCAGAGTGAAGAATAGGAATGCACGATTCTAAATGTACAGCTTCTTAAAGATAACAATCAATCATATGCCATATATAGGCCAAAAATGAAAGGGACTTTGTACTCAGATATAAACTTCTGGCAAGATCTGGTTTGTTGTCAGGTTCCCAGACACTAAATAGATGCTCTGTTCACTTAGCGTGAAGGCCCGCAAGGGGCAGGGACCTCCGGGGATTCTTGGCAGTTCTCAAGTCTCATTAGGTCTGCATATTAATGACTTGCAGCAATATAAAGAGACCCTTGAGCAGCTTTTCCCCCCTCCTCCTGCCTGTGTTTCCCAAGGCTAAGGCAGCCTCAGACACATCACACATTAGCCCAGCCTTAGGCCTGCAGCGGCCACTGCTGCCAGGCGACCGTGGGGCGTGCACTGCCCTTTGACACACTGCCTCAGCACCATTCAGAGGTCCGTCAAGTGTACTGAGGAATGGGTGCTCTCGAGGACCAGCGTTACCCTGAAAACCAGGACCCTGTCACTCTATGCTTATGCCATTGACCAAAATAAAGCTCGCATCTCAAGCAAAAGAAGTTGAACCCAGAGATGGTCCAATGATGGACATTTTTAGAAGTTACAAAAGTTGGCGTTCCTTTTCATTTTTTTATGTGTCAGATAAATACAAAACAATCAGAAAAGAAACAGTAAAAAAAAAAAAAATCAACAAGCATCCTTTTAGTTGAAGTGCAAATGAAACAGAAAGAAAACCCAGATTTTATGAAATTATTTTCATTATGTTAAGTACATATTTTATTTCTCTTAAGTGTCTCCTTAACAGATTAGTAATTACAGTTATCAGGATCCTTTAAAATATAAAGTTTAAATTTATATAGAAAAACTTAAGCAAAATAAAGTAAAATAAAATAAATATGTATCCCATTGCAACTCCATGAGTGACTACCATTCAGCCCACATATAAATATACCTAGAGTCCAAATTTTTGACAGGTCATAGGCCCTGTTGAAAATATTAGGAAACCTAGTGCAATTCCAAAAATACACACTATCACATGTTTCCTAATGTCCTAAAGCCTCAGAACCCAGATTTGGAAATCCTGCCTTCAACCTACTTGTGACTTTTAATCACCCTTCACTCTTTCATTTACTACTTGGTGGCATGCAAAATACTCTGGAGGCACGAATGTGGATTCTAGTCCCCAGTCATTCACTTATCCTCTTGTGACCTTGTACAGGTCAATCAATTTCATTCATCTTCAGTTACCTCATCCACAAACAGTCTAATAATACCTTAATTGACTGAAGACTGGGGACTGGCCCAGGTGAGAGATCTATGGCTTTTTGTATGCAATATAATCCCATTAAAGCGCATTATATAAGGGAAAAATATTTCATATTTTAACATATTCCACAATGAATTTCTAACTTTAACTCTCCAAAGGAACATTGAATGTTTATAATCCTCATTGAATATACAGTTATCAACATAGGATGACACCATCTTTCGCTGTAGAGGTAGCACATTAAATTTACCAAAAAAGTATCTAGGCCATCCTCCTTTCTAGATTTTTTTTTTTTTTAAGCTATAAAAGTCAGCATTTAGATTGCCCTTGGATCACACTTACCAGCTGACTGGCCACGGTTGGTGGCATCGTGATCACTATCTCCCTGTTCACTGTCTCCATGACCACTGTCCTTAGAGCTTACTATGTCGGCTTCCTGGAATGCAGAACTACAAGCACAAAAATGTGAATATTAGAATAAAAAAGGTGAAGTTACACACAAAACATTCTTCTGCCACCACATGGTCACCAGTGGTGCTGCAGATTCATAGACCTCTTAGTTGGCTTTATTTCTGCATAAAGCTTGTTTTCAAAAGCTTAAGCCCAGCTCTTTAAAATTGAGTATTAGCAGTCAGTTTGAGCCCTTTAAGGCATGTAAAGTTTAGGCAATATTCTATGATTGGAGCTAAGTATATGTTCATATCATTTTTATACAGCAGGTGTATATATGCACCTGGAACTAACAGTTAGGAAGACTATCAGAAGCAGTGTAGAAGTGAAAACTGGCAAAATACTCAAATATATTTAGTAACTTGTATATAAATAAAATGTACCCATATTTTAATGTATTATTTAGGAAACCCAACATAATTAGCATTTATGTCCTATCCTAATTGGAAATACTTTATGTGTTTTATATTTTAATATTGAATAATACACCTAATTCTTACTTGTAGTAGGTAGCAGATTGTCCATACACCAAGCTAGGAAATAAAAAATAAATAAAATAAATAAATAAATAAATAAATAAATAAATAAGAGTCCATACCTGTTAACTCGGCGAGGTCTGTCAACTAGATAGCTGAGCTCTGCTCTCTGGTGTTTAGTCTAGAAAAAAAATAAATAAATCAAGAGCCTTTGAATGCTAAGGGTTACCTAATAGTCTGCTTTTGAGGTTAGGAACTAATTCTAGCTTAAGTAATTGTGTACATTTTTATGAATTTCCATGTTGTCCTAAGATCTCAGCCCAATTGCTGGGTAAGGGCAAGGAGATATGAAAAGACACTTCAGTTTAGATTTTCAGTAAAGGTTTAAAAAAAAAGCAGATATAAAAGGCCAATTTTAAATGTGTGGGTGTTTTTAAAGGGATAGTGCAAATGACCTCATAGCTGGGGCTCATAAACTATTGCCTCTAATAGAGTCAACCTAGTTATACTCTGTAGTCTTTCTTTCAATGACCTAAAAAAGTGTTTAGGTGCATACTGTGTTGACACAAGAAAAACAGCACGCTCAATAAGCAAAAGTTTGTATGTTTTATGGAATTATTTTGTTGTTTATTTCCAAAATGTGCTTAAGATACAAATGAGCTGTACAAATATTCATGAAAGTCAGTAATATCTAAGACTCAAATAAATAAAATAACCTGCCAAGGAAGGAGTTC